ATTGTTTGATTCACACGGATTGCTGATCCCAGCCGTAAATGGTGCTGTAGCCGTTTCCTACCTGGCCTTGTCAGATTACTGTACACATTTGACTACCTAAGCAGATGGTGCCATGTCTTGTGAATATTTTGAAAAAATAGGACAGGCTGCCATCTGCCTGCAGTGACTCTGGGTCTGCCTGTCTTTCCCAGAGGCAGTGGCAGTGACTGAATGTTCCCTGAGGATGCCTCTGGCACCAGGGAGCCTTGACAGTGTATCCTCTCAGGTCAGGGGCCGTTGTGGGTAGTGCTCATGCCAGCAAATGGGAAGGACACAGCTGCCCAACGTCCACCAGTGCAAGTTGTGGAAACAGGGGCCAGGCCCTGTGCTTGCCCATTTCCTTCTGCCAGAGGGGGTGGTCCCCCAGATAAGAGATGGAGCAAGGGGTTCTTCCTGCCTTCCCAGTGTCTCTACCCAGGGCCATAGGTGGTGACAACAGAAAGGAAGGGGCCTTGCTAAATATAGAGCTCTGTGCAGATGGGAGAATTGTTACGATTGCTTGTATATTGTCCTTAATATGACTATGGATTTCCTTCTTTCTCCCACTGAAGCAAGACCCAGGACAAGTTTGGCCCCATGTGGTTGCCCCCTGAAGAGTGGCTGTGCCCCTGTCCCATTACTACTCTGATCCTCATCCTGGGAGCAGGAGGAGGGCTGCGGGTTGGTGTGATGCTGGTCAGCAGGGTTCTCCCTTGCGGAAAGGGTAAGTGGCGGCCACTCTAGCTTTCGCTGGCTGGAGCCTAGGCAGTAATTCTCTTCTCGCAGGGACAGAGAGGAGCTACCTGCAGGTGATTATAGGAGATGGTGACCACAGCATCTCCCTGGGGAGCCTGCCGTGGGAAGCGCTCCTCCTGATTTGCAGTAGCCTCCACTCCTGCTTTGGAACCATGCCTCAGATCTTGCTGTCTTCCTAAAATGCTGGAAGCATATAGACCCATCAGCCTCTAACTACCCTTTTGGTTGTCCCTCTGCAGGCTGCTCCTCAAGCCCAGGTCTGCTGCCTTTGCCTAGTCTCAGGATGTCCAACTCCCCTGACTTTGCTAAGGTGTGCAATATTCTCCATTTGCTTTGTCCTTTCCTTTCTATTTTCCTACACCTTAGCATCTTCTGTTTCTGGACAGAAAACTACCCACTGCTGTCTGTTTGCCTGCCCCATGGAAATTGTTCCATCCCAGCCAGTTCTGCTGTGGGCTGGGAACCCTTTGCTAGGGAGAGCTTTGCGTCTGGGTCTTTGAGAATACACTAGGCCACAGGGCTCTCCTTTCAGCTCCCTTGGAGGCTGGGATATTCTTCTTGTACCTGGATGACTGGTCACTGTGCTCCTCTTAGGCCACTGTGCTGAAGAATTGAGGGACAAGGAGAGGCTGAGACCTTGGGTTAGAGGGTGATGGGAGATGTTTTTATCAAACTTTGTGGAATGGAATCAAATCACTCTGAGGAAAAAAATAATAAGAATAAGAAAGAATATTATTATAAAAGGAGAAATAAAGTTCATTTGCAGCCACTGTACTTAAACTTCTAGACCAGGATAATGCAGTCCTTTGGAATTCAGAATAGAGAGGAAATGATCACGTTAGTTGAAAATGTTGGTGAATCCTAAATATTATTTACATACCCACACACTCCAGCACATGCATATACACTCACAGACACATGCACATACAAACATTCAAACACATGCATCCCTGGTCTGGGGCACTCTGCCTTCATAGCTGTGTGCCAGTTTATGACCTGTGGTCTTCATTAGTTCCTGTTTGCATGCCCATGGAGCACGAATCCCTTATTATTTTCTCTGTTGCAAATGCAGAATTTAGGAGGGGGCTGGGTTGGCTATATTTTCTCATTCCCAAATCCTGTGATATAGGTTTCAGTCACTGTCCCCAGTGAGGCCCTCCCCTGCATATGGATCTCTCAAGGGCAGGGACTGTGCCTTATTCATTTTTGGGTCTCTAGTGCCTTGTATGGTGCCTGGCACAAAGTAGGTGCCCGCTAATTGTTTATGTCCCTGAAATTTGGAGTCTGACTCAAGGTAGTAAAATTTGGTGGAGACTGCTGCCTGTCCATCAAAACTCATGTCCTCTTGTTCCAGGGCACAACCTAGAATAACTTGCCCCCTCTGATGTTAGATCAGGCCATGGGGCTGAGATCTAATCACAGGACATAAACAGAAATGATGAGTGCACCTTACACATCTGGCTTGTCAAAACCTCCCCTGTCTCCTCTGTGTCCTTTTTCCCTCTGGCTGGTTGAAATGCCCATTTCCAGGGAAGCCTTAGAACTCAAATACTGAAGATAGCAGAACAGCTGGTGGCTTGAGCTCTGAGTGACTACATGGAGCAGAGCTGTGCTTTGGAAACCCATCTAGACCATCAGAAGGAAATAGACTTCTTATTCTTCAGGCCACTGAATGCATCATGTCTGTTTGTTCTTAGAGCTGTGCCTCCCCCAGCTGATGCTCACCATGTGACTGTGGGCCTGGTTGGAGGCTCTGGACTCACAATGGAAGGCTGTGTGTTCATGGAGCCATGCTGTCGGATTGCGCAGAGAGCCCATATGCTCTTGGACGCATGTTTTGCTTCTTTAGACTCCTGTTTTACAAGTCCCTTGCAGCAGGAACTGGGTTCTTGTTCTCAGAGGCATAAGAGAAATAAGGCTAGGGAATTCCTTCCTGGAAACCAGACCCCCAGGCTGTTAGTCTGACTCTGATGCTGTCTGCTGTGGGGCCCTCTGTGGGTCCCTATTCTGCTCTACTTGTTTTCCCATTTGAAAAGTTAAAGTAATCAGGGTGCTGTGTGTCCCTGTGGGATAAGAAGGGAGGATTTATTAAGGACAGTGTCTTAAGGACTGAAATTTTGTTTAGAGGAGAGAGAGCCCTGGGGAGAAGCCAGGGGACATGGCAGGAACGCGGATCAGATCAAAGGGCCTGTCAGTCAGGGATGTCGGCAGGTGCTGCTTCCTTCTTCAAGTCACGTGGTTATCTCAGCTGCAGTGTTTGGCCCCATCCCAGGGCCCAGGGTTTCCTCTTGTCCTGTCACCAGTGGTCCACAAGCTGTACAGCCAGTGGCTGGGGCGGGCAGCTCACATGGCCCTGGATGCTTGGAGTATCTTTTTGACCAATGACTAACTCTCTGTGGGGGACCCAACAATCCCCAAGTGGAGTTGGTTATAGGAAGGGCTATAAAGAAATGCATTTGAGGCAAATAGAAAAGTTCATTTAAAGATGAAAATAACTTTTTTTACATCATAAAAGAAATGCATGATTATAGTAGAAAATGGGAAAATTCAAATACTTATAAGGAAAAAAAATAAGTGCTGCAATTCCATCCCTCAGAGATTACCACTGTCAATACTTTTAATGTGACTTTCATTCTCCTCTCCTTCCTTCCTCTCCCCTCCCTCTCCTTCCCCCACCTCGTTCTCCCTCCCTTTCTCTTTCTCCCATCTGATAAATCCCTATTATTCTATGTATCCAGTTATATTTAAACAATATGAAATTCTATTCTACGTCTTTTCTATATCTGCTCAGTTATCATACTTCCACGTCAACAAATGGAGCATTATTTTAAGTAGCAGAAATATGTTCTATTATATGGCTGAAGGATGGGCAAGTTTCTGTTATTTTTGCTCCCTGCAGAAGCTCTATGTCCTCGGCACTCAAAGTGTGGTCCCCCAGCCAGCAGCATCAACATCATCTGGGAGCTTGATAGAAATGCAGAACCTCAGGCCCCCTCCCAAGCTGCTGAGAGGGAATGTGCATTTTAACAAGATACCCAGGTGACTCATGGGCACATGAAGGTTTGAGAGGCTGGGCATGGTGGCTCATGCCTGTAATCCCAGCACTTTGGGAGGCCAAGGTGAGTGATCGCCTGAGGTCAGGAGTTCAAGACCAGCCTGGCCAGCATGGCAAAACCCCATCTCTACTAAAAATACAAAAATTAGCCAGCTGTGATGATGCACCCCTGTAATCCCTGCTACTCAGCAGGCTGAGGCAGGAGAATCATTTGAACCCAGGAGGCAGAGGTTGCAGTAAGCTGAGATCACACCACCGTACTCCAGTCTGGGCAATGGAGTGAGACTCCATCTCAAAAAAAATTTGAGAAGCACTGGTTCAGCTGCGTGTCCAGGAAATAGGAACACAGATGCTAGTGAGTGCTGTATTAGCTCCTCTGTCCACTTATTCCCAAATAGCTTTCTGAGGCAAATGTCATCACTTTCCCTGCTTTGGATGTGATGTGGGAAACTGAGGCACAGAGAGCTTCAGCTACCTGCCTAAGGTCACAAAGCTGGGCAAGCAAAACAGGGACTCTGTGTGCCTCCCCATGGCCCCTGGTGTGATGGGAAGAGCCCTTGAGTAGAAATCAGCAGACCCAGGCCCTGAACTTGACAATTATGAGAAGTTGGATAATCCATGCAGTATTTAGGAACCTGAATGTCTTCTTCAATGTTACAAGCACTAGTCTTATGTGAAATAATATGTCAGAAAAAACATTTCAAGCTTTCTTTTATTAGTAACTTGTATTCAATCAGAATCTCTAGAAGCCCTTCCTCTCTTCCCTGTGATATAAAGTTAAGGATAAATAATGACAGTGGTGTCCCTAATTTAGAAGGACAGGCATCCTGATCAGAGAAATAATGTACATGAGATTCTAAGACATAAGATAGCTTAAAAATATTAACTAATGTAACAAGCCACTCTATGGTCAAAGCTTAAGTACTAAAAACAAAAAACCAGAAGGAAAATGTCCTATAGGACCCTGGGTGAGTTCTTGCAGTGGGCTGGATATTTATGTGTCCCCTTCCTCCAAGAATGGATTTGTTGAAATCCTAACCCCAAGGCGATGGTATCAGAAGGTGGGGCCTTTGGGAGGTGATTAGGCCTTTAGGGTAGAACTCTCATGAATGGAATTAGTGCCCATATAAAAGAGGCCCCAGAGAGCTCATTCACTCCTTCTGTCATGTAGGACCCAGCAAAAAGGTACCTTCTATGAACCAGAAGACCAGCCCTCACCAGATGCTGAATCTTCTTTGATCTTGGACTTCTCAGCCTCTGGAACTGTGAGCAATAGATTTCTGTTGTTTATAAAACACCCAGTTTACAGTATTTTGTTACAGCAGCCGAACAGACTAAGACATCCCTTTATTTTCTGGGGTTCCATCTGTGGAATAAAAAAGATTATCACCACCTCTCTAGCGCTAGGGGGGAGGGAGATTTGGGCCTTTCACAATAGTTGTGCTTACACTGAAAGCTAAGGGCTGTAGTTGGGGCTGGTCATTGGACCAGGATTAGGGCCAATCTCCCAGGGAGCTTGGGAGCACTTCTTGACTGCTGTCCCACAAGGACGGGGGGCCCAGAGAATCCGACTGCTGGAAGTTTCTTCTCATTCAACAATAATTGGCCAACTGGCAGATACTTCTCCAGGCAGGCCAACTAGGCTGACCCCTACAGGGAGGGAGAGGTGCCCCTGGTCAGCATCCTCATTAGTGGGGGAGTCCAGTGAGCTCAGGAGTGCTAGTCTGGGCCTTTGCCTAGAGGAAGGTGGTATCGCTCCCACTCTGATATTAACTGAACATTGTTATATCTCCTTTGTAATTCGCGCTGTGCAAACCTCTGCTCACAGGACCAGGAAGTCTCCCAAACTATCCTCTTTCTCCCTCCCTCCATGTCATCCCCGTACCCACAATCACTGCGTCCTGAGGATTCTACCACTTGCATAAATACCTCCTCTGCTCCCCAGGGCTGAACTGGGATGAGGTTAATAAGGTTCCTAGGGTGTAAAATTTATGGAGACAATCGCACCCAGAGATTGTGTAAGTCCTGGCCTGCCTCCTCCTCACAAGCCTCATCACTGTCACCACCTCCTAACTATGCTCCCTGTCTCCTGTCTTGTCTCCACCCAGTACATTTTTCATATGGCAACTGGAATTTTCTAGAGCAGATCACATCTGATCACATTATTCTCTCGCACAATGGGCTGTGCTTTTACCCAGCACTGGCATATAGATAAAACCTTTGTGGTTTGGACCCTACCTGTGGTTTTACTATTCCTGCTATTTATACCCTACATTTCCACTGGATACTGAGTATTCCTAGAACAAGCCTGTCCCTGGCATCCTTCTGACGTTTTTCTCATCTTGAAGGTTTGGAAATACTGATGCCCCTTAGCCTCCTTTCTCTCCCACCTAATTGGCAAACTCCTCCCACTTTCATACCCACTTTCGGCCCTCATGCCTCTTCCTGGAGTCTCCTTTCCAGAGTTTGTACCTCTGTTTCCCCGTGGTGCCGCATGCCGCTGTGTCAGCATTTTACGAGACTAGCTACTCGCATCGTCTCTCTTCCACCGGACATCGGAATCTTGCAGAACTGTCCGTTTCTTTTTCATCTTTACACCGCAGGGCCTCATCGAGTGACTTGTAGGAACAGATTTCAGTACTGGCTTCCTTTCTAAATGGAAACTGGCTCTGGGGGAGATTCTGAAATATGTGGAGAGGGCAGGCAAAGAGGTAAAAACAAGTGTTTTTCAGATTCTGGAGGAAGTGGAGTTTAGGAAAAGCAGCTTTTTCTTTTGTCATCGCTTGTCGAGAGCCTAAATTGAAGTCTTGACCCCAGTTACTGCAGGAGGAATTTGGCTTGGTCCTTTACAATTCCCCCTCAAGGTCAAATGCTCTTCCTTCAGATCCTTTTTTGTTTTCACTTTTTATTTTGAAAGAATTTCAAACTTAAAGGTTTTTAAAAGTACAAAGAATTCCCTTATGTTACCTGTCCAGATTCAATCATTGTTAGTATTTCTCTAAAGATCTCATTAGTCTTCTGAACGCTTTGAGAGTAACTTCCCTCCATAAAGTCCCTTTACCCTTTAATAATTTAGTGTGTATTTCCTAAGAGCAAGGACATTATCTTCCAAAACCTCATGACAAATATTGAAATCAAGGCATTTCACAATGATGTGACTATTTTCAGTTAGTCTGCAGTCCATAGTCCAGCTTCACCAGTGGTTCCAATAATGTCCATTATAGCAATTTTGCGGGGTGTTCAGAATCCAATCCAGGATCACACATTGCTGTTGTAATGGTATTTCTTTATTTTCTTTTAATTTAAAACAGTTCCTCAACCTTTTCTTGTGTTTCGTGACCTTGACATTTTTGAAGAGTACGGGTCAGTTAATTTGCATAATGTCCATGGGTTTGGACCTGTCTGAGGTTTCTGCTAGGTTAGAAAGGCTGTGCCATGGGGAAGCCTCACATCAGGAAGCAAGGATGGGGGTTTGTCTCATCATTGAAGACATCAGCTTCAATCCCTTGGTTAAATTGGCATCTGCCAGGTTACTCTGCTGCTACAGATTTCTTTTCTTTTGTAATTGACCAGTAACCTGTTGGGGAGATACATTGAAACCATGTAAATATCCTGCTACTCAACAACTTCCACCCTCAGATATTTTTCCTCAGGTATTCCTGCACTCTGTCACCACCCTCTCTCTTCAGCAGTTTTCTTTCCTGGGGACTCTGGCAAAACTCTCTCCTCTGAATGGTTTTGGGGTACACACAGGGCCTGGACTCTCTAGGATTTGGTTTCGGACTCTCTGGGGGTGGGCAGGGATCTTGGTTGTCTCCAATCTATACAGTTCTTGAACTTCTCGGCATACAGCCCCTCTTGGGTTAGGGATCCCACAGCTGACTCTTCAGCATCACAGTTTATTGTTTGACTGCCGTTTTCTTCCCATACCTTCCTTTCAACTCTCTCAGGAGAATTTCTTCTCGTGCCACGTCTCCTCCCTGAGTTGGGCTGAGGGCTTGGATCTCCCTGGGGGCTCTCCCTTAGTCACTTGAGACTCCAGGAATCTGCCTCAGCTTCTTGACCACAGTTCTGGCTTTCCCATGCCCTGCTTCTAATACGAGTTAACCTTTAGACTATCCTGCCTGCTTTTAGTCTGTTGAACCTACTTTTTGTTCATTTGTCCATCTGTCCATTCATCCTTTCTCTATCCACCCCCAGCCCCCTATGCATCCACTCATCTACCCATTTATCCCTCCATCCATCCACCTCCCAACTCCCTATGCATCCACTCATCCATCCATCCATCTATTCATGCATCCACCCATCCAGTATCCTTTATATCCTAGGCATGTGCAGAGCAACAGGGGGATAGAAATGACTTAGATGCCAGTCATAGGCTTTGTGGAGCTTGGAGCTCACAGTCTAAAATGGAGACAGACACTGGAACAAAGAAAAACAAACAAACATAGCACAATCTACACTAGAGGTTTGCAGAGCAGAAAGGAGGGAGCATCCAATTCCACCTGCATCCAAAACACACTTCATGGTGGAGAGGGTGCTAGAGCTACTTGTTGAAGGTTGAATGGGAGTTTGTTGGGAAGAGAAGAGCCCCTGCACAGAGGGGATGGTATGTGCCAAGACCAGGCTTGAGCAGGCAGAGGCTTGAGCAGACAGAAGGGATGGGGGAGCAGCAGAATGCAGTGTGAGTCTATGCAGGCAGACCTGTTTGAGGTGAGACTGGACAGAGACCCTGGGGACAGCCCCTTAGAATCCTTTCCTGTCACACAGAGTAGTGCTGACATTATCCTTTAAGCTAAATGGAACGCAGATTTAGCAGAGGAGTGATAGGCACCAAATAGCTTCATTTTTATCCTGGTGCTTCTGGCCAGTGATGGAGGATAGACTGAGTGGGGAGATATGGGGATCAGACACAGGTGGGGCCCCAGGTGAGAAGCAGCAAGAGTCCCCATGGTGGCAGTGAAGGCCAGGATGAGGGGAATTTGGAGACATTTCTAGCATAGAATCAACAGGGCTTGGTGAATAATTTGATGTGGGATAAGGGAAAAGGGGCTGTCCAGGAGGTGTCTGTGGTGATCCCTTCCAGATTTCTCTTTAGAGTGAGTGGATAGTAGGTTAACTTGTAGAGAGGAGGAGTATAAACAAGGAACAGGTTCGGGGTGGAGAAGCGATGAGCCCAATCATGCTGCCTCCTCGCGGCTCTGGTCACCTGGATTGTATGCCTCACACTTACTGTCTGCGAAATGCCCCAGCTTCTTCCTAGAACAGTCTCCTAAAATCATAAAGGTGATGACCTGAGCTCAATGAAAATGAGAAGCTGGTGACTCTGTTTGCTCTCAAGATGACAGAACTGCCTAAACGTGAATATGCTGGTTCCTCTCTCTACCTTGACATGGTGCGACAAAAGCAAAGTCAGACTCAGACCCCAGCGCAGGCACTTAGAAAAAAACAGCAAAATTCATTATCATGAAGTTTCAAGCTGGGAGATGGCCCCACCGCAGGGCTCCCCAAAACAGTTTCAGATCATATACATGCCAAAGTATATACACACTGGAAGTTAACTGTTACCTTCATCTCTCCTACAGCATCAAATCTCTGTAATACTTTACTGGAAAATGCTGGGGTTCTAGGCTCTCAGTTCTCCAGGCCTGCAGAGAGTACTCCCTCAGCCCTGTGGCCCCCTTCCTGTCTGTTGTACTAACACAGGTGTGTAGGCGTTGCTTTTTCCACACATTTCTGGGTTTGTATAGCTCTCTGATGCATGGAACTTTTAGCAGGAAAAGGACATGTAGTGGAGAGGGACTTCTGATTTCCCCTGAGAAGTGCCGTCTTCCTTCAGTGTTTTCCTCTCAAGGAGGGGCTGGTGGGGAGGGGAGATCATATTATCCCCTATTGCTTGGTAACCATGGATACTGCCTGTGGGAGGCCTTTTTCCCCTGCTCTGTCCAGTGCCTTAGCCACTGGCCCCATGCAGCTCTCTGAGTTTAAATTTTAATTAACAAAAATTCAATAAAGTTAAAAATTCAGTTTCTCAGTGGCACTAGCCACATTGTAAATGCTCCACAGCCACATGTGGTTGGTGGCTATGTATTGGACAGCATAGATAGGGAACATTTCCATCAGCACAGAGAGTTCTATCAGACAGCACTATTTTTTTGTTTTTTTGAGACAGAGTTTTGTTCTTATTGCCCAGGCTGGAGTGCAAGGGCACAATCTCAGCTCACCGCAACTTCCGCCTCCCAAGCATTTCTCCTGCCTCTGCCTT